CCCTAAAACTGCCTCATGCTCTCCTCCACCGCATCCTGCATTTGTCGGTTCTGATCTTCACGGCTCTGGGTTTTTTTTCTCCCCTTGTTTTCTTTGTCTCCTCTCGTCGTCCTTCCCCCGCCCCCCTTTCCTCCTTCTCCCTGTAGGTGAGGGACATGGCATGCACCACCCTCAGTGGTTTACTGCAGTGCCAGTTCTTCCCTCTGGACTCCAGTCTGCAGACACAGCTCCAGACGCTGAGTCAGACTTGCCTTCCCAAGGCCAGAGGAGAGCTAGCCTCCACAGGTACCCCGCGCACACACTTCCGTCGCCATCACACAGCGAGGCAATCACAGTAATACTTGCCCTATTACCCTTTCTTATCCCAGGGGAATTGTGAACCTTGAAATTCTGGCCTCATTTTAACTCCCCGCTTGTGTGTGTGTGTGTGTGCAGACTTGGTGCGACGCCATGCTGGAGTGCTCGGCCTCAGCGCCTGCATCCTATCGAGCCCCTACGATGTTCCAGACTGGATGCCTGAGATACTGATGGACCTGAGCGACCATCTCAACGACCCGCAGCCCATCGAGGTCCGCGCACGCACCCGCCCGCACGCACACACTCGCGTACAAACATCTCGCTCCAAACAGTGCGAGCTGAAAGAATACAATTTCATTGTCCAATTGAGGAGAAAATTGTCTCTTTGGCCTTACTTCAGGCATGAAGAAGACATACAATGTAATCCGTAGAGCAGAGTTTGAATAATACATTACAGTGATGGGGAGCCAGTGATGATGATAATTTAGTGCTTCTCCTGTTGCAAAGTGAAAGAAAATACGAAACACAGTTCAAAAGATAGATTCCTAAGTAGACGAATTAACTTTTTTTTTTTTTTAATGGAAGCAGATTTTGGCTTTCTCGAGGCGTTATTCCATCGTCTAGATCGGCTTCCTTTGAAAGCCAAAGTGTAAAACAAATGCACTCAATGTTTAAGTCATGAACGCGTCTTTAGCTGCCGCGATCGCCGCTTTAATTCCCTGTTTTCTGTCCCTGTTCAACCGACTAACTTTTCACTCCCAACTTGTTTCGCTTCGAATAATTCCCACATTGCATATTCAAATGGTTGTATCTGGCTTTTTAACATGAATAAATTAGTATTTCCTCATTAGTTTTTAATCAACGTAAACAAATAGCTGCAAATATTTTCGGATGCTGCTGCTGCTGCTGTTGGATTCGACGCTGCGATTTACATTAAGCGTCACCGGGTTCAGAAAGGAGCAGCGGCTTTGTTTCACCGCTCAAACACGGGAACTATTTACTTTGCAAAGTCATATTCAGCACCGCTCCAGTTCCACTCTTAAACCTAAGCGTAGGTTTCATTCTGTTCTAATAGAGAGTGGCTGTTTTCAAGTGCTTTAGACTTTTTTTTTTCACTCGTCAAAGCAAATGAAGCAGGAGAAAGAGCCGCGATCAACATCAGCAGCTTTATTGCAGGACTTTACTACTGCTCTAATAGAAACATCCTAATGCTGAGAAACAAACAGATCCCTTTGGACTGATGTGTACGAGTGTATAGGTTCAGTCCTGAGTTGTGTAACATCGTGTTTATCTGGAATCCAAATATATGTAGTTGTACAGATGAGAATTAATCCTCTTTGCCAGCTATTAAGATTTAAAATATTCAAACAGAAACACAGATACAGATACACTACAACTGATTTATAACTCAATAAAATGGAATAATTCTGGCTTACAGATGATCAAAACTGAATGACTGATTTTGATGTTTTTACAGTTTCTCTGTTTGTGTAAAGATAATATATAGTGTTAGAGGTTATTGATCTGATGATGTAAAGGCCCTTAAAATGATTTATGTTGTGATCTGGTGCTGCATGAATAGAACTAATTTGACAACTGAACTGAAAATAAGACTAATTAGATTATTTAACTCACTCTGATTTCTCCTTAAGTGCTGATTTAGGAACAAAGAAGGTCAATAAATCTGACCTCAACAGTGTAAATGACTCCAGCTAGTGCTGCTTGCTTTCAGGTTTTGATGCAATTATTAAAGAAAAGCTTCAATGTGTCACAGATGCGTCGTCAGAATACACAAGTGAAAGTATACAAGTAAGAAAAAATGTAGTTAAAGCAGGTGTAGGCAATGTTTTTGGCACTCAAGACCAAAAAATGCCTCGAGTGCTCAAGTGGTCTGAGTGGAAACTCAGCCTTCAGGCTTTAGAAAATCTAGCCTGTGACGGGAGACGATAGAGAATCACAGGTGAGATGGAATAACGAGCAGCAAAGTCCACAGTAAAAGTAGGATGTGAAGGGACTTGTGGGACTTTGAGGAAAGTGGAATTTGAATTCTGGGTGAAACCGTAAATGGACGTTGACTTTTAAATTGAAGGGGAGAGGAAGAGCTGCAGGAAGGCGGCTGTTTCACCAGATTTCTGCCTACTGCAGCTTTAAAACGTGAAAAATAAAACTGTCAGCACACAGAAAGATGCTCCTCTGTGAGCGGTACATCTATAAATGGACAAAACTTTCATATATAAATCGCATTTTCCTGTAGTGGTTGGTCAAAGTGCAGATCATTTTAATTACCTTCTGCTTATTGGTAATCTGTTCCAAGGTCGTAAATTGTATGTTTGCGTGGATATTACGTCGGTCTTTGTTAGTCTTACATAACCACAGTTAAAGGCAAAATAAATAAACATACAAGTATTAAGCAGCAGATATTAGTACTACTTAAGTTACGTACAAGTATAGAAAAAGTGCCCTTAGTTAGGGATTGCACTGCGTTCCAGATTTAAAGTCCTTGCAGGATGACCACGCATGCATAAATGATGACTCGCGACTTTTCTTCCCAAGATGACAGTGAAGAAGACCCTGTCCGAGTTCAGACGCACCCACCACGACAACTGGCAGGAGCATCGGCAGTGCTTCACCGACGACCAGCTGCTCGTGCTGACGGACCTGCTGGTGTCGCCCTGTTACTACGCCTAGACGGCCATCTGCCTTCCCCTCAGGTCCTCCGCGGGCTGACCGACCACTACCACAGGAAAAATAATTACACCTTTTTAGCACTGTTGGGAACTCCAGTCCTCCGCGCAGGCTGTTAAAATAAAGTCCGATAACGCCGGCCAGGGAGCGCTCCCTCTGGAACCTGGCGTCGCCACTGTTGGCCTTCTGTAAACCCAGCAGGGAAAAAAAAAAAAAAAAAAAAAGCAGTTCTGGGCAAAAAAAAACAAAAAACGGTTTCAAATATTTAACTTGCTTGGTGTGTTTGTTTTGTCTCGCCAAGCAGCTCAGCAGCCCCAAAGGTGGCCACTTTAGAGATAAAGGTGTTTGTGTTTGGTTTCTTGTTGTTCTGGTGGAATATAATCAGCCCATGATTGGTCCACTTCCGCCAGACACACCTCGTTTTCAGATCATCGCTTCTCATCATCAAGAAATATTCTAAATATATTTAAAAATATATATTGTATATAATATAAATACATAGAATTAAAATTGACAACAAGCTCTTGTTGTGTTTCTACAGTTATAATATATCAAATGTGACTTTTTAATATAATAATACTCATATAGATGATATAATTATAACACTGATAAGCACATATGCCTGCAATAGGTACTACAAATGTATAACAAGCTGTGATAAGTGTCATATTCCTGTACAAACACACCGTGCTGTATCATACAATAGTTCAGCGCCGAGGATCGAATGTTTTCCCGTTAAATAAATTCCTCGAATAATTTGTGAAGTCGGATGCATTTTATGTACGTGTGAAACATTGCTGCTCATTATATCCTGCAGAGAGTTCAAACACAAAGGCTCCTTCTTGCACCGATAGTTTTTAGTTTTGTGCCAAAAAAAATAAATAAAAAAAATAAACGTTATGTTGCACAGATTCCGCTACAGTCAATACACACTGGTTGCAGCAGAGCGTGTGTGTGTGTGTGTGTGTGTGTGTGTGTGTGTGTGTTTAAGGAAGACGGGATCACAGATAGAGCTGTCACCATTTTATTCTGCATGTTGATGTTTTCTGATGCAGCGCTGTTGAATTTGATGTGTTCACTGTGCTGAGACGTACGCCGGCAGAATGAGAAGGAGCCGGAGTGCCAAGAGGTGCAGATAGCGAGACACAAGTAAGCACAGTTTGGAATAAACATGCCGTGTTTGTGTGTGACTGCGGTGGTACGACGGTGATGATGATGATGATGATAGCTGCTCTGAAATTTAGTTTTCTTACCAGAGAGAGATAAAAAGATGGAGGGTACTTAGACAAGTGACTCTGGAAAGCATTAGAATATCTTAAAAAAAGTGGAAGAGAATGAGTGATTGTGTCTCTAATACTGAAGCTGGAGATTCAGAAGTGAATCGCAACTTTCCTGGCAAACTTCCTTTTATTTAATCATTCTAATCCAAATTAGATCAAGTCAGCATAATGGAGATACCATCAGTCTAAATCATGTCTTAAAAGCTGTCATGGAAAAACTAAGGCCGATCCCAGTAAGTGTCAGTGACACTCAGAGCTCTGAAAGGCTGCAATTTGTCACCGCAGCGCCTCCAGCCCAATGCTAACATTAGCATGCTAACAATGACAGAGTTAACACACGCCGACGTTTATCAGGCGAAGTGTTTGCGATGCTCATCATCTTGAGACCCCGCCATGCTAACGTTTGCTAATTAGCAGTAAACACAAATGACGCCCGGGGCTGCTGGGAAATGTCATTAGCTTTGCAGGTGTTTGATCATAAACCAAATTAAACGAATTATAAATCTGACCTGATAACGGGGCTGCAGAACACATTCATGGCACCGAGTTGATATGTTTGCATTTTGGACTGTCTGCTGAATAAAGCAAACATTTTGAACATTTAAAGCTTCAATAAATTAAACCGTTTTCCTGATGCTATAAACTCTAAATGATGAAAATAATCACCATTTTCAGCATCACATCAAACTGCACCCACAGATCAGCTGAGGTGGTAAACAAATAATAAATAACAACAAATAACCATGTAAGATTGTCTTTTCCAACATTAACAGTTGCTTGTTTAAACTCGGCTGTTAGATGCTGCACAGAAAAACATCAGAATTCTTCCTTTATGCTGCTTTATTTAAAGCATGTTTTGTGATTTACACAATATGTCGTTCTGATGCCGGTTACACTTCACGTGTTTACGTCTTTTGTCTGTTTTCAAACAGCTTTATTAATCTTTTCCATCATGGAACACAATGCTGACAGTGTGACAGTAACAAGGTCGACATATTTCTTGTACCTTTGTGTATTTGTGCATCTTAAACCCTGAGATTATTTGACAATTACAGGCTGGTGTATAAATAACGGGTCAAGTCTTATTGAATCCTGTTCATCCGATCTCTTACTAAAGTTTCCAGAGAAAACAGGTGCGCGTCGGAGTCCTCGGGCAGAATAGTCCTCACTGCGTCAGCCAGCTGAAACAGGTATTCTGTGTTTTTCCCGCTCGGACCGGTGGAGCTGATGATCTGGTTGGCTATGTCCTCCAGCGGCGCCGGCCCGAGGTAGTCGGGATTGTCCTGAGAGCCGATGTAGAGCAGCGTGCGGTCGGGCGAGGGGGCGAGCGCTGGACGGGGGTGGAAGGCCACCGTGATGACCTGATAGCCGCCTTTTTCTCGGTAGTCCAGGTAGCTCTTCACCTCCTGCTCGCGGCCCGTCGGCAGCTTGTAGGCGACGCCCCAAACGCAGCCCTGAAGACGAAGAAAGGATGAACTCTGGTGTAAAAGGATAGTAGCTTCTACAACAAGTGTCAAAGTCGACCAGGTCCACCTTCTTTAATGCCATTGTTTGTTACCGTAATGTCTGGACTATAAGCGACTACTTTTTTTCACACACTTTGAACACTGCGGCGTAAACACTGATGCGGCTAATTTATGGATTTTTTGCCTCGAGACGTAAGTGACATCGAGAGCGACAACGACAGAGAGACTGAGGAAGTGTGTAACGAAGGAATTCTGAGGCTGTTCAATTCTGAAGAAGACGACTTTAGTGATGTTCAGGAGGAAGATGAAGATAGCGATCAATAACTTTTCCTGATAGGCGACTGTAGTTTTATTTTCTTAACCAGCCGTGTTACAGGCACCGCTCAGGATAAAAGCATTTACATATTTGTGTTTGTTATCGGTACGTATCTAATTAAAAGTTTTAAAAAATCTTTCTGTGTAAATATAATAGTCCGGAATTTACGGTAGTTATAAGAAATGCAATATCTTGTACTGGAAAAACAAACTCCTCATTATGAAACAGCCTCCATATGCTGTTAATCAAGCCTCACAATATCTTCAATATTCATCTATAATAAGGCTGTTTACTTTACAAATAATGGTGAAACATAATTAACAGTGAAACATTTCCAAACAGTCCTAAACCCACACATACAGTCAGTTTGTGATGATATAACGAAGAGCAAAGCAGCAGATCCTCACATGTGAGACTCTGTAAATGTTTTCAGTGTTTCTTTGATAAGAGGCCCTAAAGAATAATTAGCTGTCAAAGCCGCTGTTCGTCATTTCACATCCTGTCGCAGCACCGATACAAACTCGTATCATCGACATAAGCGGCGTTATTTCCTCTCGCGTGCTGCGTTCGTCGCTGTCAGCTGCTCGGAGCTCAAGTGATGAGTCAATTATTTGATTAGTCGACTGACAGAAACTGGATGAAAAGCGTTCTGATGATCGATTCATCACTTCGTTTTCAAGCGAAAAGGCCCAGATTTTGTGATTTCAGCTCGTCCGGCGTGATGAATTTCTGCTTTTTTTCAGTTTGTAAAGTAAATATCTAAAAAGACATATGAGGAAATCACCTATGACAGGATTCATTTAACCATTTCCCGCTATTTTCTGAGAGTTTATATGCCGAGCAGTTGATCCATTAATCAAGAAAGGAAGTGTTTGAACAGCGGTAATCAATAATGAAAATAATCTTTAGCTGCAGCTGGGCTACCGTATGACGCACCGCTCACAGTCTGCAAGAAATATGAGCCGTTTACTTCAAACTTATCGAGGTTTACTCGAAAGTCACCTCTGAATGTTTTCTAGATGCTCGCCATGCCGTTGTCTTCTCCTTTCTTGAGCAGCAGTCGACCTTGTACAAACATGTGTCTTTAGGAGGTGAAGGATGTGTGATTATCTTCAACACCGGCGCCGTTTATACTTCAGAAATAGAGAATGTTTATTCCCTTACAGGTTGGAAAAATCTGTGAACACAACTTCGGACGTCTCTCGTTTGCTAAGAGGGATCCCATTTTGAAAATACAGCTGCTCCGTTAGTTGCTGGTCTTCTTTTAATTACAGCCAATCATACAGTAATACACAAGAAGTTTTTCACATCGGCTAAATTTGTTGATCGGACTGATACCGATATATCGGAAAAAACGCTAATATCGGGCGATCCATCCATCCATCATCTCTACACCTTAATCCTCACAAGGGGGGCTGGAGTCTATCCCAGCTGACTCAGGGTGAAGGCAGGTTCACCTGGACAGGTAACCAGTCTATCACAGGGCTACACTTAGAGACAGACAACCAAGCACACTCACATTCACACCTACAGACAATTTAGAATCACCAATTAACCTCAGCATGTTTCTGGACTGTGGGAGGAAGCCGGAGAACCCGGAGAGAACCCACGCTGCACGGGGAGAACATGGAGACTCCATGCAGAAAGATCCCGGGTGTCCTCACCGGGACGCGAACCGGCGACCTTCTAGCTGCGAGGCAACGGTGCTAACCACCGAGCCACCTTGCAGCCCAGCGCAAGTCTATGTTAAGTCAATTTTAAGCAAAAACTTTCTGCAGAAATTAAGAGTTGCTTTATAAAAAATAAATAAATAAATACACAACAATTTTATTTAAGTATCATTAGTTTTTATCATCATCATTATCAAGGTCCTGAGGAATTGCTGCATTTCTCTGTTTCATCTTATTCTACGATGGTTTTCTTTTGTGTGATCTGGGACCATTTCTTGGACAAAACAAGACAGTTGAAGATGTCACCTTGAAATTTAGAGAAAAGACTGAACGGCTAATTAAAAGAAAATAACTCTGACAGCCTTCAGTAAGGTATGAATAAGTTTAGCAGCTGTATAACTCACCTCTGGATCCTCCACAAGTGTCACAACTCGGCCAGGCTGTAAAAAGGACAAAGACAGAAAATCAAGCACTTTGAAAAAGTTGCCAAACACAGAAAAAACAATAAAAATGCTGACTGGGATTTTACCCAAATATCAACAAAACAGACTCTGGGAACCGTCTGAAAGGTTACAGCAAGAAAAACACAACCTGTCATGTAAAATCGCTCTCAATCACATCTGAATGTCAAGAACTTCTCCTCGAACAAGTGATCGTCTGCCAAAAACTGATTGTGGTTTCTTATCGTAGCAGCTTTTAAAGGCTGCTTCTATCTGGAACAAACACTCATAACGTACAAATACACTGAACACAGTAATAGTGTGTCTGTGAAAGACCAAAAAACATCTACAGGTGATAACCAAGCATTACATTTACCATTAGGCTCGACCAGAACGCTGTTTCTGATGTTTGGGTCGCGTGTGTTTGGTATCTGCTGCCTTGTTTAGGCTGTGAACCATTATCATGACTTATACATGGGTTTTATATACAATATAAGGACATGATCTGTTTTGCAACCATCCTAATGTTTAAAACACAACTGTTATGTCACGTTGGTCAAGTCACTGTGATGCAATAATGAGATCTGAGTCACAGCGTAGAGTGGACGCCTGCATTTTAGGAGTTTAACTGTTCATTTACAGATATTTCAGCCAGAGCTGTTTTACATTCACAGCTGCTTTTAACAGCCACAACATGCAAATACACATGACTTTGGAGAAACATTATCAGGTCTGACATTTAAGATCATACCAGAGCTGCAGCTTTAATCGATCAGCTGTTAGGTATTCTAAAAATCAAAGACTATTTCGATCATCAATTAACTAGTCTGAGTCATTTTTTAAAGAAAGAAATTCTCGGTTTCTTTAACTCTCTGTGTCATGGACCAAACAAGACATGTGAGGACTTCATCGTTAAGCTTTAAGAAACTTTTGAGAAATTTCCCAAACCAAAGAACTCATCAATTAATCCAGAAAATCTAAATTACAGTCAATATTACAGTGCTGTTGCTGATGTTTTGGCTGTTTGGTGTCTATGAACTTTGTTTAAACTGTAATTAACATGATTTACACTTTTTTAGGAGTCAGAAAATGGCTTTAAATGAGCTGAACTGGTCTTTTAAAAGCTCTTACACCTGGTAATAATGGACTGAATGGTTCACGTGGAACACAAAGGAGGTGAAATCCTGCTGAGACATGGTGATGACTGCTTTTGTGGTGGTTTTTTTGTACAGTACGTGTTACAGCAAGTGGGCTGGTTACACCCGTCTGTAGCCAACTCTACAGAAGACAGTGTTGTTATAATATAATGGGTTATATTATATGAAATAATAAAAGTCATGTCTCACGATGACTAAACTACTTATTCAGACACTCAGACTAAGAGCAGCGACACGACTCGACTCCCCGCCGTCCCAGAAGGTCCCAAAGCCGGTAACGTCCACTCACCTTGCCCGGTACTCCCCGGTGGTCGGTGCTGCCCTGCCAGAACCGACGACTGAAGCCTTTGATAAAACCGATTCTCCTGTCCTCGTAAGGAAAATCCACTTTCCATATCAGGGAGCCGTAGCCGAAGACCCACATGACAAGACGTTAAGCTAGCGCTAGCAAAGCGCGGCGGAGGACGGTTGGAGCGGAGCGACCGGTTTCTACTCTGGCAGCTGTGACGGCGGTAGCAGCGTTACAATGACCGGCATGTTCACCTGCAAGACGAGGTTCAAAGGCAGCGGGACCGCCTCAAGCCGCTCCGTCCCCGGGGGCAAATTGTAAAGTCATGCAGGTTACGTAAATATCCCTGCTTCCGCTGAGCAACTTTCAGAATAAGTTGTTATAGCTTGTGCCGCATCACAGTGGCGGTTTTCTTTAGACTGTCGTGCTTTTATTTTGAAGGGAGGGCCGCCTGTTTCAGTGTGGGTCAAATGGCTCAGAACACTGTAACGTGGTTTACACATGGCACACATGGCCCTGGGTATGTTGAAATTGGGACAACTTATGTGCACTATCATCTAATACAATAACATTTTTTTAAAAATCATGATTTGTCTAACAAGCTGACTTTATGCTGAACTAATAATGTTATATTAGCTCGCTGTAGCACTAGCTAGCTAGCTTAAAGTCTCGGAAACTTAAGCTTCCCTGTTGATTGGTGATTTGATATTGTTATGTCAAAAACCCAACAAAAATCAATGAGGTTATAATAAATACATAGCTTTTACCCAATGACCATCAATTCTATGCTATTTAACATTCATGTTGCTGGACTTTTGTCTAACAGGCTAACTAGCTGGCTATATGTGCTACATTAGCTTGCTATATTAGCTAGCTAATGCTAACGTGTAACCTAATATCTCGCTAATAGCGCAATCCAGCTAATCTTAGCATTTCTGCGGATTTGCAATTTTTAGCTCAGAACCTTGTAACAACATCATAGAGTTATAATAAACGTGTAGCTTTTGTCCTAAACCCATCAGTTCTAAATAATGTGCAATAGCGAAACCATTTTTTAAATCTAAAGTTGTTTTTTTTTTCCTATATTTTGCAGCTAAAGTAGGAGCAACATAATATGTTGGAGTAAGGACTAAGTTTGAAGATTGCAAAAAACATGCTGTCTTTAAAAAAAATCAAATTTCTAAATGGAATCAAATGTAGTGTCTCTTAAAATATGTTGACAGTTAGCATCATAGATATGTATAGTAAAGACATTTATTATGCATATCTATGGTTAGCATAGCCCTATTTTAGCTAGCTTACTTTGAAAGTATTACCACATCAATAAAAGCAGTCTTTACAACTTCTCCTAACATGATTGTAATCATTTCAGTAAATAGTAAATAAATAAATACTTTTAAGTGAATGAACAAGTACCCTTGTGTGGGGGGCATTGTGTTTTTTATCAAAATATTTGGAAATCTCTGTCTGAATTTCTAAGACTAAATGCTTTGAAACTGTTCGCATAAATATCTCAGTGTTGTTGTATTTTCATTGTATGGTTGTTCGAATACAATAAAAATGCTGACTTATGTGATGTCAAATTTTTTCACAAATGTTTGTAAAACATGTTCTCAGGAATAATGAAGCCAATAGTTTTGTGTTTTTACTGTATATTGTAGTGAGAGGGTTAATGTTTACTGGACTATATGAAGTTATGAGCTGAGGCACTGGAGGGATTGTTGTTAGAAGGTATTAACAACACTTACAATATGTCATTAACCAGTTCTGTGTGTATTGTTGTGATTGATGTATAAAGCAGCAGTATGACTGATACACATGGGCTGATGTGACCGGTCATCATGTGGAAAAACTCACATTTAGGCTCCATGACCGTCACAAAAGCTGTACTTCTCTGTTTTAATGATCTGAATACTCTATTGATTGATTTGTCCTCAGCCTCACGATGCCCCTGTGGGCTGCCGCTGATATGCAGCTATTAATTTATTTTTAATAAACATGCACTGTGTTGCGCAAACAGGAAGTGGGACAGATAACACAGGGCTTTAGACCTGACACCAGGGGGTGCTGAGTTCCTATTTCCCACAGAGTGTCATGGTGTACTCTCCCAAATAAGAAGCTCTTCATGTATGCCGTGTGAGCACTGATTCAGAACCAAATAAAGTGGACAGCAACAGTCTGTCCTGTAATGTCAGCTTGATGAACAGCGACCAAACACATCCTCCTGCCTCCGAGAGCGGCTCGTCAGCAAGCCGTTTATGTAACGGACCATGCTCCAGTTTGGAGAGGCAGATCTGTGGTTGACATCCCCGGCTTGGTTGAAAAAACAAAACCAGGAAAACACTGGCCATATAGATAGAGCTTGTCCAAGACACCAAACCTGCTGCAGTGGAGCAGGTCAGAGGTCAGAGCCAATGTGTGAGGTGCACACATGCAATTAAAAAATCACGTCTCACTGCTCCTAAAGCTCAAAGCCATGTTCTTTTTTTTTCTTTTATGTCTTGTTTAAATTACTGTCGTAATACTCGCCATAATTAAAAACAGGTTGTTCTGTGAATGCAGCAGTTTCAAGTAGTTCATGTTCCCTACTGTGAAAATAATGAGCTATTTATATTAACAGTAAACCTCCACAGAGCCACGCAGACGTGTACTTACAGATGTGGGCAACTAAGCTAAATCCTGCTTTACAATATCTTAATCCTAACATACACAAAGTTGTTACCTCGCTCATGTGCGAATTAACACCAGCAGTGGCTTACAAAGCGCCCCGCCACTGTTCTCTTCTTTTTGCAGTTTTTTGTCTTTGACGGCGACACGTTTCTCGCAAAAAAAAATATTTAATTGTGTCTTTTCCCGCCGTCTGCTGGCTTTGCATTACGATGACAAACAGCAAAGGCATTTAGGGAAATATAAACAGTCTGCGCTACATGGTGTTTGTTTTCTAAGAAGAGAGGCAGTTTTCATGATGAAGGATGTGTTTTATTTGCGCTGCTGAGGAAAACTGCCTTACACGCTTTCAGTAGGTGAATTTGGCAAATTTGTTATCTCTTGTTCTGAAGACGACAAACAAAGATGCTACAGGATGAGTGTGAGCAGAATTTACTGTAAACTGTTCTTTCGTTTGTTTCTGAACTAACCCATTTTCTTTTTAGCACTAATGGCTTCAAAAAATCCCACGTTAGATCTCCTGTAATCCGCCCTTTATTCCCGATGTAATCAAAAAAGTCAACATGATAATCGTAATGAATCAAATCATCATTGCAATCAGTCATTAATCTGAAACAATTAGCCGGTGCTGGTAGGTGGCTCTGCCTGAGCGGTCGTCCTCCATCTTTCTCCGTACATGTTGCATTAACTTCTTTTCTGATTCTCGTTGGCCTTCTTCCTCTCTGACAAGCGTATCCTCTCTGTTCCAGTCTCTTTTCCCTGCGCTCCTCCTCTCTTTGTGTTCCTTCTCCAACTGCAGAGCTGCTCCTAAACCTTCCTGTGCTCCTCCTGCAGAGGCTTCTGTTTATTCATTAGGGAGGTGGCCAAGATAGAGCTTTACTCAACCATTTTTTTTTTTCCTCTGCGTTTTGCTCATTTGTACAAGCTCACTTTGATTTAGGAGGCCTGCATTTGACTCAACAGCGTGTCATTTGATCAGTTTTTTTTTTTTGCATTTAAAGGGGCCCGCCACAAATTTCGCACGTCAGAGTCAGTTTCCTTGACTTGATGAGCGCCGCGCAGCTTGTGAAAACAACAATGTAATGTTCTCGGAGGCGTTTGAGGGAGCTCATCTAGTCCTCTGACAAAGTGTCGAGTGACCACTTATCCGGTGGACCCAAAGGAGGAGGTCAGATGGTGTCATTACAGAGCAGCAGAGTCCGCTGAGGATCGCTCGGGATGAAAAAGTACAAATAATCAGACTTTAAGGCGACGCTTTTCCCCCCAAAATTGCAGTCGTTCCCAGACTTCGAGCTGTTTTTGTTCCTGTAGCTAAGCAAGCCTTAACCCGAGCAGTGTCCGATCGAAATGAACGCTATTGTCGAAGCAGTGATGTCATTCAACTGATAGAAGCATGGGATCAAAAAAAAGCCTCCTTTGTTCCGTAGGGCAGGAGCCGATGACGTAGTTTGTCATTTAATTTGAAGGACCTGTTGAATAGAAAGCCTCTGTTATAATCTGAAAGCATGTTATTTGAAAGGTTTGGCCATTTAAAAGGCACCGAACGCAGACGGGTGAAAATCAGGATACGTCAGCTTCCGCCTCGGTGATTCTGAACGTTCTTTTTTTAAAATCTGTGACTTACAAGTCCCTCGGCTTTATGCAAGCACAATGCTAAATCACAGAAGTGCCCCTTTAAGATGAGTTACACCCCCCACTGTCTGAATTCGTGTACTCTCTGTCCCGCGCTGAGTGGGTTTTCTTGTTGAGACCACAAATCCAGCTAAATGTGACTATTCCCCTCTTAGTTCCTTGTATTTAGTGCCAAGGCCTTCTTCTCTTTAACCCAGTTTCGCTAAACGGAGCTCTCAGCATCCAGAACTTCTTTTTTTTTGTGTTCCAGCCAAAGGTGGAAGGCTACGCGAGAGGTTCTGGTTCACGCTGGCCAGCCTAATCAATTTACAATCAATATTCCTTGTTATTGCTCCTCGTGAGCAAGCATGCACTACCGCTGTTGCTATCTTTAGTCCATCCTTACACTCCTTAAACTGCTCTTTCCTCTCTGGTTGAGCTTTAAAAAGAGATTTCCTCAGCTCGTAGAACCTTTTTTTCTTTCCACCATCCACCTCAAAGATCATCTGACTAACCTCCAATATTTAGTTGTTCTCCTGTTGCGATTGAGGTCCACAAAACCCATCCAAAGGTCTCCTCCACATTGACTCACTCCAGCAGCAGTGGTTTCACACACACACAAAAAAAAGCTCTTGAACCTCTGACTCCTTCACAGCAGCCGCAGTGAGGAATTGGTCGGCTGAGCTATAAAAGTCCACTATATGTAGGAAGCAAGGTTGAGTGGGCCATTTTGGGCTCTGAGGCCTGAGACTGTTTGATCCTGAACTGCTCATATGACTCCTGAGGTTTCTCTCACGTGCGAGCTCGGCGAATGCAGCCACATCTATCAGCGCTGTTCTACTCGCCGGAGAACGTGAATCTATTCTGGGTAGAACAACTATTAGTGATAATATGAAGGACTGCGAGATAAGAAAGTCATTATTACCAAGTCAATATTATCTATTTTGACTCTTTTTTTTTACACTGAGACTGAAAAAAAAACTTAATTTGTTAAAAAAAAAAAATGTTGGACTTGCAGAAGCATTGACTAATTAGAATAATAGAATTAGAGAATCATGTTCACATTGACTGATATTC